ACGTAATTTTTCAACTAAGTCAGCCTGTACATGGCAGATATGATATACAAAATGCGCTCTATTTCCACATGAAATTCAGTCTCGATTCTATTCTTTGCTTCCAGATGGAGTTGGCTAATGGTACCACAATCCAAGAATTCATTTTAGTTGGATTTGGAGCTGAACACCAGAAGAAATCACTGCTTTTCATTATTTTCACCATCCTCTATGTAATTACTTTGGCTGAGAACATCACTATTATAACACTTGTGCTATTAGATGCCCATTTGGCCCAACTTCCCATGTATATCCTCCTGAGCAACTTCTCCTGGCTGGAAATGTGCTATATCACCACCACAGTGCCCCGGATGCTATTCGATCTTGCCTCCGCTCATAGCACCATCTCTTTCCATGCTTGTTTTCTGCAGTTCTATGTTTTCTTCTCTCTGGGCAGTACTGAATTCTTCTTCCTCTCGGCCATGGCTTTGGATCGGTACCTGGCCATCTGCCACCCATTGCATTACTCCCAAATCATGTCCCCAAACTTCTGCTATGCCTTGGTGTCCACTTGTTGGATCCTTGGTTTTCTGGGGTTCCTTTTTCCAGTGACTTTGATCTCTAGGTTGTCCTTCTGTAGACTCAACATCATTGACCATTTTGTATGTGATCCTGTTCCAATTATGAACTTGGCTTGTCCTCCACTTGGAAAAGTTCCTCTTATCTGCCAAATGTCTATGCATGCAATCTTTGTAAGCAATGTCACCTGTGTTGTATTTTCATACAGCAAGGTGATTTGCACACTGGTGAAATCTTCTGACCAAGGGAGCCGTAAGAAGGCCTTCTCCACTATATCTATGCACCTGTTGGTGGTGACATTTTTCTATGGCTCAGTTGGAGGGATGTATTTAATTCCAAATAGAAAAAGTCAGTCTGATGTCACAAAGGCAGTAACAGTCTTCTATGTTACCATCACACCCATTTTGAATCCTCTGATCTACTGTCTGAGGAATGATCAAATCAAAGAGGCACTGAGGAGATTGCTAAGGAGAAGACTGAAATGAGTGTTTATCAAAGGCACAAATCTAAATAGAAATGAAAGGGGGAGTTAGTGACCCAAACCAATGCATGTGAATAGACAACATTAGGTAAAGGTTTTCGCCTGACATTAAGTCCAGTCATGTCCGACTCTGGGCATTGGTGTTCATCTCCATTTCTAAGCCGAAGAGCCAGCGTTGTCCATATACACTTCCAAGATCATGTGGCCGGCATGACTGCATGGAGTGCCGTTACCTTCTTGCCAGTGCAGTACCTATTGATCTACTCACATTTGCATGTTTTTGAACTGCTAGGTTGGCAGAAGCTGAGGCTGACAGTGGAAGCTCACGCCACTCCCTGGATTCGAACCTGCAACCTTTCAGTCAACAAGTTTAGCAGTTCAGTAGTTTAACCCACTGTGCCAGCAGGGGCTCCATAGATAACATTACTTTATCCAGAATCAAGTGAGAGAGGGGAGGTGGGTTTCTTAAAATAATAGATCAACATTACAATTTTAAAAGAAAAAATAAAATACAAAATATTTTTTAAATATTCAATTTGTTTGTTCTCTTTCTTTATCAATTTTGTTTGTGCCAGTCTTCCACATTACAACCTCATAAGCAGAGACTGACATTTTTCTAAATATTGTACAGTGCTTAATTAATTTTAGACAACAGTTTGAAGTAAATTTTAGGAAACCTACATGAATAATGGTAGTAATTGTTAACAAAAAAATAACATCAGGAACAGTACTAATCATAGTCAAAACAGAATTAGATCTCTTATGTTTCTGTGGTTTTAGAATATCAAATTTGGTTCTTCCTAATGGGTAAAATTTGGGAGAGGCACTGCTTTGGAAAACAAGAACTAATACCTCAATGAAGGCAGGGAGATAAAATGTACTATGGAGTCTCTTAAGGGATGTTGCTTTAATGTAAAATGGAATTATTCCAATGGGACACATCCCCAAGGTTCACTTCCACTACTGATTTAAAACTGCATCTCAAGGAATAAGGTCCCCTATGTCTTTGCTATATCAATACTGCATACAAGCGTACAGTGTGAAAAGACTGACATCCTTCTCTCCAAGTCCTCTCAGTCCTTCTAATGAATCTTCTGGTGGATGGAACAATATTTTAATTCTTATTAAGGTACAGAAATTGCAATTATTATCAGAACAAGGGGAACTTGAATCACTGGTTTTGTGGACAGTTGCAGCCTAGGGTTTCCATGAGGAGCTGTCCATGGTGCTGAACATGTTCACCTGCTTGGCTCATGCAGTTTAGGTAACTTTCTTAAAATTTAGGCTTAAACTTAGAGAAAATTTCCCAGTTCACGGACATAAAAGCCATCAACTGTGTCTGATTAGGTGAAAAACACAAAGAGAAGGGTGGAAACTGTTGCTAGCTTCCAGATAGAAAGAACCCCTCCTTCCAAGGAAAACTGGAGAACCGTATTACATTTTGGAAAGCAAACAGGCTTAGAAAGGTCTGGAGAAACAAATCTTGAAATACTCCCCCATTTCTCTCCTACATTCCAGATTTTAACACAAACTAGAACTTAACACAAACCCATACACAATGCATGTTGTATTATCCAAAACATTTTAAGTTAATGTTTTAATTGGAGTGATATTTTATGCTTGTTCAATTTTTGTACCACACATTGCTTTTCCTGTTTTCTTTTTTAACCTGTATTTTAAGATGGTTTGGATCCCATCTTGGCAGAAATCCTAACATGGCTTTGCATTTTAAACTCCCCAGATGCTTGAATCCGTTTCTTATTTATCTTGTTGTTATGGAAATCCCTTCAAAACAACTAGTTGAAGGTTAGTTATGGAAGTAGACATGTTCTGGGTATTATTTCTGTACTAGTAACTTTATTACCAGATGTGGAAATAATATGGAAAGAATAGGGAATAAAGACAAGTTCCAATATCACAAAATAAATAAGAGCAGTTCAAAATGTTTCAGTGAGGATTTTATCCAGAATGAACAAGATACACAAAAGCATGAAGCAAGTCTTGATAAAAATATTTTGAATATTTACAAGATCCCTTGAAAACTTATTTCAAAAGCCATTCAGAAACAGAACTTATTAAAGTCTTTAGACTAGGCATGGGCAAACTTGGGTCCTCCAGGTGTTTTGGACTTCAAGTCCCACAATTCCTAACAGCCTCAGGCCCCTTCCTTTTCCCCCTCATCTGGTAGGCTGTTAGGAATTGTGGGAGTTGAAGCCCAAAACACCTGGAGGGCCCAAGTTTGCCCATACTTGCTCTAGAGGCACATATTCTTTTAAATCACATTGCTGTGATGTGGAATTTAGCCAAGAGTCAACATTCTTGGATCCTACATGCTTTTCCTGTGAAAATACTAGAATCATTTTTTAGTTAAAAATTCGCACAATACCATTCTCTGTAGAAAATGTAATTCTCATAATTCTTTCTGGGCTTCCCACGAACACCTGACTGGCCACAGTGCAAACACAACACTAGCCTAAATATGCTTTGGATCTAAGCCAGCGCGAAGGTGTTATTTTCCTAAAGTCAACATAAAAGCTTTCAAATACACTTTCATAATTATAAAACAAAGTTGGATATCTATTTCTACATATGAGATATTTTTAACCAGTAGTGTTTGATCCTTCAAAGAAGAAGAATGCTTAAAAGGATTTGCATGATTTTGCTGAGTTTTCATTTTTGGATTTAGCAAAGGTTGTGTATTGGACCGACATTACAGTTTTACTAAGGGTCCTTTCACACAGCCATATAAGACAGAATATCAAGGCAGAAAGTCCCATAATATATGCTTTGAACTGGGTTATCTGAGTCCGCACTGCCATATATTCCAGTTCAAAGCAGAACATGTGGGATTTTATTCAGTTGTGTGGAAGGAGCCTAAGGAACTCTATTCCCAGCATGGCCCTCAGTGAAGCCAGATTTTTAAAATTCTTGAACATAGCCAGAACTTTATTTGATTGTGTATTCCTTCATGGCAAGGAGATGGCCTGGATGGTTTTTCCCAACTCTATAGTTCTATGATTTCTCAAAAAGGTCTAATGCAGTGTTTCTCAACTTTCCTAATGCCACGACCCCTAATTACAGTTCCTCATGTTGTGGTGACTCCCAATCATCAAATTATTATTGTTGCTACTTCACAACTATTATTTTGCTACCGTTATGAATGTAAATATCTGATAAGCAGGATGTTTTTTCCTTCATTTTCACTGGACCAAATTTGAATACTGGTGGGATTGGGTGGAGAGGGGTTGATTTTGTCACTTGGGAGTTGTAGTTGCTGTGATTTAAAGTTAACCTACAACCAAAGAGCATTCTGAAATCGACCAACAATGGATTTGAACCAAAGTTGGCACACAGAACTCCCATGGCCAACAGAAAATACTGGAAGAGTTTGATGGGCATTGCCCTTGAGTTTTGGAGTTGTAGTTCACCTACATCCAGAGATCACTGTGAACTCAAACAATGATGGATCTGGATCAAACTTGGCATGAATACTCAATATGCCCAAACATGAACACTGGTGGAGTGTGCGGAAAATAGACCTTGACATTTGGGAGTTGTAGTTGCTTGGATTTATAGTTCACATACAATCAAAGAGCATTCTGAACTCCACCAACAACAGAATTGGGCTAAACTTTCCACACAGAACCCCCATGACCAACAGAAAATATTAATGGTCCTCGTGACCCCCCCCCTCCCAAGGGGTCCCAGCCCCCAGGTTGAGAAACACTGGTCTAATGGAAACGTATTGTACATAATTTAGATTTGATGAGAAAAAACTGATCTTTCATCTGAGAAATACTCAGAGTCAGAGCTGTTGGCCAGAAACAAAGATCGGTTGCTCCTACGCTTTGGATGACCTGCTTTCATAGCTTTTGCCTTCCAATGGAAAAAAAATGGCCAGTTAAAGTTATGTTGATTATTCCTTTGTATGCTGTGTGATAATGATTAGATTTTATGTTTCCAGATGGAGAATGCTAATGGGACCACACTTAAGGAATTTGTTTTGCTTGGATTTGGATTGGATGCCTCGAAGCAGTATATAATCCTCATCTTTTTCGTACTTCTTTATGTGCTCACTTTAGTGGAAAATGTCACCATTATCACGGTGGTGCTTCTAGATGCTCAGTTGTCCCAACTTCCCATGTACATCCTGCTGAGTAATTTCTCCTGGATGGAGATATGCTACGTGACCACCACTGTGCCCCGGATGCTCTTTGACTTGACTTCTTCTCATGGCATCATCTCCATCCAGGCTTGCTTAACTCAGTTCTATGTGCTATTTTCTCTTGGAACAACAGAATTCTTCTTCCTCTCAGCCATGGCTTTTGATCGGTACCTGGCCATCTGCCACCCATTGCATTACACCCAAATTATGACTCCGAATTCTTGCTATGCTCTGGTGGCAGCTTGTTGGTTCCTTGGCTTTCTGGGATACATTGTCCCAGTGACTTTGATCTCAACGTTGTCCTTCTGTGGACCGAACATCATTGACCATTTTTTGTGTGATCCTGGACCAATCCTGTCCTTGGCTTGTCCTCCAGTTGGCAACATTCCTCTTCTCTGCCAAATAGTCATAAACACTCTGTTTTTAGCCAATGTCTTGTTTGTTGTTATTTCATATGGCATTGTAATTTTCACTCTGATGAAATCATCCAACCAAGGGAGCCGTAAGAAAGCCTTCTCCACCATATCTATGCATCTGTTGGTGGTGACCCTTTTCTATGGCTCGGTTGGGGGGATGTACTTAATTCCAAGTGGAGAGAACCAGTCTGAGTTCACCAAGGCAATAACTCTTTTCTATACAACCATCACACCTTTTGTCAATCCCTTGATCTACTGTCTGAGGAACGGTCAAGTGAAAGAGGCACTAAGGAGAATTATAAGACGGATATTTGTGAAAGCCACAGTTGAAAAAAGACACAGATCAGAGAGGTAGAATTAATAAAATACAATTCATAACCTCTACTTGGATGAAATGTATTTATTTGGTCTTTGTTTAGTATGTTCTATGGGGCAGGCAAGCTTGATTAAAATCTGAGCTGAATCAGGAAAAATATAATTGTTGAAACTAGTTTCCCCATTAAGATGAGAAAACAAGCTACAAACTACCGAAACATTATTTGGCAGATATGAGCCTCAATTCACTAGGCCCTTAGTGTAGTTCAAAGAACTACATGTGAATGTATTTCATAATAATAATAATAATAATAATAATAATAATAGAAGAGAAAGAACTGGAAAAGCTGACACGATATGAGGATTTAAAGATCCAACTGCAAGGATTTGGCACAAGCCAGTCAAGGTGCTCCCAGTGGTGATCGGCACACTGGGTGCAGTGCCTAAAGACCTTGGCCTGCACTTAAACACAACCAGCACTGACAAAATTGCCATCTGTCACCTGCAAAAGGCCATCCTTCTGGGATCTGCACGCATCATTCACCAATACATCACATAGACCTAGACATTTGGGAAGTATCCGTTGTGTGATCCAATACAGCAACCAGCATAGAGATCTTGCTGTGTACTAATCTTGTTGTGTTTGAAGCAATATAATAATAATAATAATAATAATAATAATAATAATAATACTTTATTTATATCCCGCCACCATTTCCTCAAAGGGACTCGGGGCAGCGTACAAAGCACTCCAGGATGCACATATAACATACAACTGGTAAAATGGTACAAAACTATAAAACAAGTCACATAAAATTATAACAACAACCCCCTCATCAACATGTTAGCATAAAATCAAAACAATGCAATTTTAAAACAACAGTAGATAAAACTAACTGCCATTAATTCACAGGTGCTTCAAATGGGTCCATTCAGCCTACTCGAGGTCAACGGCCTGTTTGAACATCCGTGTTTTCATGGATGAGATGGTGGTGTGACCAAGAGCCTCCTCTTGGTCTTCCTGTTGATCTTGGAACCCATGCTGGTTCATAGAAAGAGATGCGGTCTCAAAGATAGGTTAGATCCGAAGCATATAGGGCTCTATAGGTAATAACCTGCACCTTGAATTGAGCCTGGAAACCTTTTGGAAGCCAGTGGAGCTGCTTCAGCAGGGGCGTGGTATGTTCCCTGTAGCTAGCTGTTAGTCATCTGGCAGCCTACCTTTGCACTAGCTGCAGTTTCTGAACTGTCTTCAAAGGCAGCCCCACTTAAAGTGCATTGCAATAGTTCATTCTGGATGTAACTAAGGCGTGGATCACTGTGGTCAAGTCAGGCTTTTCGAGGTATGGTCACAGCTGGCGCACAAGTTTGTGTGAACACCCTCCTAGCCACCACTGACACCTGAGCCTACATAGTCATGTACAACACTACATAGTCCTCAAACAGAACACTAACATAGGGCAATGAACATGGACAAATGTTAGAGTTGTGCAACAACTAAACTACAATGCCCAATGTGCAATGGCTACAAAGGTCAAGGGACAATGGCACTGGGCAGAAGGATAGATGTTCATAGTTCCTTCCTTCTGCTATTGTCTGATGAATTCCTTCATTTCAGCTATTCAAAGTTTTTTGTACTGTGAGTGCAGCACCGATGATGATGACATTGATGTTGATGTTTTCTTACCTGTGTCTCTCCATAAATCAAGACAGGAAGAATAACAAACTAAATACAGAATCAGTTAAAAGCGCATCAACCAATAAAAACATATAACTTCAGTGTAAAAGTTCATATAAGGTGAATACATATTGAACGTTATTAAAGGTGAAGGTAAAGGTTTCCCCTGACATTAAGTCTAGTTGTGTCTGACTCTGAGGGTTGGTGCTCATCTCCATTTCTAAGTCGAAGAGCAGGCATTGTCTGTAGAGACCTCCAAGGTCATGTGGCCAGCATGACTGCATGGAGTGCCGTTACCTTCCCACAAAAGCAGTAGCTATTGATCTACTCACACAGTAGTTTTCAAACTGTTGGCAGAAGCTGGGACTAACTGCAGTAGCTCACCTCACTCCCTGGATTTGAACCACCACCATTTCAGTCAGCAAGTACAACACTATTACATACTTAATAATGTCTGAGGGGGAAAAGGAAAGGGCCTGAAGCTGTTAGGAATAGTGGGAGTTGAAGTCCAAAACACCTAGAGAGCCCAAGTTTGCCCATGCCTGCAATAGAGGGTAGAACATAATGTTGTTCTCTAGGACCTCCAGGAGGTTAACAGGAGCTGTCAGGGGATACTTGCATCATCATATCCTAGTTACAACCACCATTGAAGGCTGATTCGCCTCAAATGGCTACTTATTCAGTTGCTGCTTGACCCTCTTGCTGGGCATTACATGCCTGTTCCAATGGGAGGAAGTGGGAGATAGCCAAGTGAAAACTGTCCACTGCTACATGGCTTTATTTACACAAGATGAAAATAGCAGAGTGAGGCCTGTCCATCAGTGGTCACGATGGCCACCAGTGGGTCATCCTCCTTGATTAGCTGCCTGTCCTTTCTCTGTTCTCATTTGGTCATCATATGTCTGTGGAGAAGACCAGGAAAAGTGAGTCATGGTGTGAAGAGCTTCTCCTCCCTGCAAGTAAGTGGAAAACTCCAAATGTTTACTATATATTTCTACGGCAAGGAAAATTTTGTTTAAATTACTCTAAGGTAATGAATAATTTAAATAATTACGTCCCCAAGCCACCAAGACACCAAGAAAGAATGGACAAGTTATTTCTTATGGAAGAGTGAAAGGCAGAAGATAAGGAAACTCTCTATAGTCAACAGCATTTAATAAATTTTAGGAGTTGTGACTATCCAAAGAATGACAAAAGCAGCAATGGTAGAATTACCAGCAATAGGATTCAAACTAGCTCTCCTACCAGTGTCTCTGGGCCTGTGCCATTTGTTTTGTTCTCCACATTTGGTAACACTAGGAAGAAACAATACTTTGATAGACAGAAACCAAATTCCAAAATGGGAGAAAGAAATGAGAGATAACAGGAGAATCTTGTCTCCCGGGAAATGATGTTGCCATAGCTCAAAGTGTAATTGTTCCAGTGAGACACATTCCCAAGGTTCGCTTCAGCCCTGGACATAAAACTGCAGTCAAAATAATTAATTCATCTCCAATCTGCAGATCAACACAATGACTTTGACTACCCACAAAACCTTCAGCATGGTCCTTTATTTCTTCGCTCCTTCAGTCCTGCTGATGAACATCAATGCAAGTTGTACAGCACGATGTCACTCCTTCTATATTCGTTTGTAACTATTTGGCAGGACTTTGGCTGGACTGATCACTCATTGGACTCCTACTGAGGTATGGAAATGGGAGGCATCCCCCCCCCCCCCCCCCCACAAAGCTAAGGAAACTTGGGTGGAAAATCCAAGGGAGAGAATTTCTGACAATCTCCCCAGAAAAGAAAAATGACTTTTCCAACGAAAAATTGATTCTCCATTTTAATTTACTGAGAGAGAAAGAAGAATGGAGAAGGAGAGTTGGAACTGGAAGCACAGACCATAAACGTTCTCATGCCTCCCATCTATATTAGCTAGGTAAACAAAAATGTAATAACTTCTTATGTGATCTGTAATGTATGGACTCCCATCCTTCAATGACCTGTGCATCCCATTGTGCTTGACAAATGCTATTGTCATTGAGATTCAGAAGAGGTTATAAGAAGTCATCTTTTTTAGGGATACCTTAATATTTGTTGTAATCAGACAAGTTAATCTTCATTAGGCTTTTCTACCCTTAACCCAGGTGACAGCTACTAAACACATACAAACCAGTCCATCTTCTGTCTAGTCTCACCTATAGACAGAAAAATGTATTCTATTTTTTGTTCCCTCTAGAGATGATGATGATAATTATTTGATACATAACAAGATTAGTACACAGCAAACAAGATCACTATGCTGGCTGTTGTATTGGATCATACTTCAGACACTTTCCAAATGTCTAGGACTATGTGAGGTATCGGCAAATAATGTGAGCAGATCCTAGAAGGGTGGCCTTATGCAACTGACAGGTGGTAATTTTGTCAGTGCTGATTGTGTTTAAGTGCAGGCCAAGGGCTTTAGGTACTGCACCCAGTGTGCCGTTCCCCACTGGGACCACCTTTACTGGCTTATTAATATTATTATTAGTATTATTATTACTTATACCCCACTTTATCTCTACAAAGGGAACACAAAGCAGCTATGCACAGTTTTAGACACAGGCTTATATATTTTAATGCCAACAAAAGTAAACATATTAAAATAAACTGGACAATTTGTGACCATTCATAAAGTAAAAGCCATACTAAAAATATTCAGATCCCTCCTTTTCTTGTGGTGAAGAGAGTTAATTTAAATGCTGTTTTACAAGCATTTAAGTGTGTGTGTTCTGTATGTTCATACACATATACACATATATACACACACATACACATAGGGTCATCCCATGCCAAGTAGTCTAAACATTCCCACCATCATGTCTCCATTTTTTCCCTAAATTTTAGCTGTAGCTTTAAACTAAGTTTCCCAAAATCTGAAGTCTCTAACTACAATATTTTCTGATCTAGACCCCCTTATCTGAAGGGTAGTTGCATGCACACAAAATTTAAGAAAATGCCATTTTGGGCATCTAATAAAAATGAAATTAAATGTATAAAAATAGCAAGTAAACTGGAATCCTGTGCAGTTTTTTTCTGCTTATTCCATGAAATTAATTTTAACATTATGGACGCAAAATCCAGTCAAACAAGGTGACTGAAAGTGTGCATCAAAATGTGTTGCGACTCTTTGTGACAAATGTTGAGCAATATTCAGACTGCAACAATTTCCATGCAAACAAAGATACAAACTTGAAATTTTGACCAAGCATTATGCTTGTGCTGGACATAATGCTGCCAGATTTGCAACTATCCAGCATCTATAGCCACCCTGCAGGATCTCTTCAAATTTGTCAATGCAAATGGTAAAATCTACTAAAATTCAAAGCCAATTATTTTAAAAGGGTCTACCTGAATATGCTTGTGAATAGTGTGAATTTATGCATTATGCTCAATGCATCCTCTGGAATCCAGCAAGTATCTCATCTTAACGGCCACTAAAATGAACCAGCAGGACCCTGAGAATGCATAAAGCATAATGCATAAATGCACAAAATAGAACACACTTTGACCTGAGTGAATTGATACTTAATGGTCACATTGCAAAACAAAAATATATCAGTCTTGTAGAGCAAAATTTTCTCTTTCAGATGATACTATTCACAAGCATATTAAGGTAGGTTCTTAGGAATTGTGGGAGTTGAAGTCCAAAACACCTGGAGGGCCCTTGCCTGATCTACACTGTAGAAATACTGCTGTTTGACACCATTTAGCTTCCATGGCTCAGTGCCATGCGGGAGTTGTAGTTTGGCAAGAACTTTAACCTTCCCTGCCAAAGAGCACTGGTGCCGCACTAAACTACAAATCCCAGGGTTCTGTATCATTGAGCCTTGTACCTTCAAAGTGTTATCAAACTGCATTAATTCTACAGTGTAGATGCACCCCTTGTCATAACACAGTGTCACCGTATCATCGAATCAGAGTTGGAAGAGAACATAGGGGCCATCCAGGCAAACCCCCTACCATGGCAGTTAAAGTGATGGCAAATTGCATTAATTTTACAGTGTAGATCAGGCATGAGGAAACTTGGGCCCTCCCAGTGTTTTGGACTTCAACTCCCACAATTCCTAACAGCCTTAGGCCCCTTCCTTTCCCCCCTCAGCTGTTAGGAATTGTGGGAGTTGAAGTCCAAAACACCTGGAGGGCAGCAGTTTGCCCATGTCTGGTGTAGATCTACCCTTAGTCTTTTGATGGAAATAATAATAATAATAATAATAATAATAATAATAATAATAATAACTATTTTCATACCCTGCCTCCATCTCCCTGAAAGGACTTGGGCCGGCTTACAAAAGGGACAAGCCCAGAGAGCAGAGTTAAAACGTAATGCAATAAAATAAAAACAAAACAAAACCAAATAGAAACATTTTACAATAAAACATAACATCATGAAAACAGTATCATGGGAGCAACAAAAGTGCTGAGTTCAGAGGGCTCTGAGTTTGCACAAAATTCCTAGATAGAGCTAAGGGAAAATGCAAAAATCAGAGGAAGGGATGGGAGAGTAATGTCCTTGGGCTTTATAATGTCAAGATTGTAGAGCGGAGGCCATGCTAAAGTGCAAGAACTTAGGTATTAAAGGGCAAATTCTTTGGAACGGACTAATCAAAGGCACAATGGAACATCCATGTTTTTAGGTTCTTGAAGGAGGACAGGATAGGTGACAGTCTGATCGACCTAGGAAGAGAGTTCCAGAGCCAGGGGGCCACCACTGAGAAGGCCCTCTCCCTCATCCCCACAAACGGCACCTGAGATGGAAGTGAGAGGAGGGCCTCCCTGAATGATCTTAGGGCTCATGTTGGTTCATAGGGGAAGATAGGCAGGTCCCGAACCATTTAGGGCTTTGTGGGTAATCACCCGCACCTTGAATTAGAACTGGAAACTCATTGGCAGCCAGTGGAGCCGTTTAAACAGGGGAGTTGATTGCTCTCTATAACTGCCTGCCGATCTCTTCACCAGTTGCAATTTTTAGGCCATCTTCAAGGGCAGCCCCACATAGTGTGCATCGCAATAATCCAATCTGGAGGTAACTAGGACATGGACTACCATGGCCAAGTCAGACTTCATGCCGACACACAAGCTTTAATTGCACAAAGGCCCTTCTGGCCACTGCCGACACCTGAGCATCAAGTGTCAGAGCAGAGTTGAGAAGGATAGATGGATAAAGATCCTTTAAGAACATTATAACTTGTTATGCTATGTGAGAGTGATTGGACTTGTTGATTCCAGATGGCGATGGATAACAGCACCACCACTGAGGGGTTTGTCCTGCTGGGATTTGGAGTCGCATCACAGAAGCGAATCTTGCTTCTTGTCTTTTTTGCCATTCTCTACATGCTGACTTTGGTGGAGAACATCATCGTGATCCTACTGGTATTCCTGGATGCCCACTTGTCCCAGCTCCCGATGTACACTCTGCTGAGTAATTTCTCCTGGCTGGAGATATGCTATGTGACCACCACCGTGCCCCGAATGCTTTATGACCTGACTACCTCTCATAGGACCATCTCCTTCCAGGCCTGCTTGCTTCAGTTCTACAGTCTGTTCTCTTTGGGCAGCACTGAATTCTTCTTCCTCTCGGCCATGGCTTTGGATCGGTACCTGGCCGTCTGCCACCCATTGCATTACCCACAAATCATGTCCCCTAAATTCTGCTATGCTTTAGTGTCCACTTGTTGGATCCTTGGCTTCCTGGGGTACATTCTCCCAGTGACTCTGATCTCTAGGTTATCCTTCTGTGGATCCAAAGTCATCGACCATTTCTTGTGCGATCCTGGACCAGTCTTGTCCTTGGCTTGTCCTCCAGTTGGAAATGTTCCTCTGGTCTGTCGAATCATCATGCATGCTGTCTTTGTAAGCAATGTCCTCTTTGTTGTATTTTCATACGGCAAGGTGATTTTCACTCTGATGAAATCTTGCAACCAAGGCAATCGTAAAAAGGCCTTCTCCACCATATCTATGCACCTCTTGGTGGTGACACTTTTCTATGGCTCGGTTGGAGGGATGTACCTAATTCCTGGTGGAGAAAGCCCAACTGTGATCACTAAGGCCATAACGGTCTTCTATGCTACCATCACACCCTTTGTGAACCCATTGATCTATTGCCTGAGGAATGATCAGGTCAAAGAGGCAATGAGCAGATTGCTAAGGAGAATTATGAACTCGATGCTTATGAAAAGCTCAGTGTAAACAATGCAAGAGAAGGAAAAACAATGGTCCAACTCTGTACAAATAAATAAATAAAACTCAAACAGCTCACTTGTATGGTTGTCATCACTTTATTTTGAATCTGGGACTGGGTACAGTATTTTGTTTGATTTATGTGGTTCATTTACCCAAATTGAAGATCTCCATTTGTGTTCATTAACAAGGTGGTACATCAAGAAAATTAAGTTCTCTCATTACAGGTCTCAGTAAACACTATTTAGCAAGTTGTTGTTGTTGTTGATGATGATGATGATGGCGGGGACGAGAGACAGGGCCTTCTCTGTGGTGGCCCCTCAGCTGTGGAACTCCCTGCCTAGGGATATTAGATCAGCCCCCTCCCTCCTGACCTTTCAGAAAAGAGTAAAAACTTGGCTCTTCAAGCAAGCATTTGAAACCTCTGAATAAATAGACAAACTTGAATTGGAAAATGAGCCAGGAACGGCCCAAGACGATGGAACGGATAGGACTTGAATGAGAGGATATAGTTTTTAGTTTTTAATATTGTTATTATGCACTGTCTTATATCTAATTGCACTATAATGGTTCTTTTTGTTATCAGTGTATGTATTTTTATGCCGATTGTGTACGCCACTCTAAGTCGCCTTCGGGCTGTTATGAGCGGGGTAGAAATAATGCAAATAAATAAATAAATATGATGATGATGATGATGAGTTTTCCAGGCTGTCTGGCCATGTTCCAGAAGCATTCTCCTGACGTTTCACTTGCATCTATGGCAGGCATCCTCAGAGGTTGTGAAGTCTGTTGGAATATAGAAAATTGGGGTTTATATATCTGTGTAATAATGTCCAGGGTGGGAGAAAGAACTTGAGGCAAGTGTGAATATTTCAGTTGGCCACCTTGATTAGCATTAAATGGCCTTGCAGCTTCAAAGCCTGGCTGGTTACTGTCTGGGGGAATCCTTTGTTGGGAAGTGTTAGCTGACCCTGATTGTTTCCTGTCTAGAATCCACCTGTTTAATGTTGTTCTTTATTTACTGTTTTGATTTTAGAGTTTTTAAAATACTGGTAGACAGATTTTGTTCATTTTCATGGTTTCCTCCTTCCTGTTGAAATTGTCCACATGCTTGTAGATTTCAATGGCTTCTCTAACAAGTAGTCTGACAAGTCTGCATAGGGATCACCAAACTCAGCAGCACCAAACACGAATCAAGGAACATGAAACGCGCTGCAGACTAACTCAACCAGAGAAGTCAGTCATAGCAGCACTTGATGAACCAACCTGGACACAGCATATTATTTCAGAACACAGAAATGCTGGACCACTCTCACAACCACCATGTCAGACTACACAGAAAATACATTGAAATCTACACACATGTGGACAATTTCAACAGGAAGGAGGAAACCATGAAAATGAACGAAATCTTTCTACCAGTATTTAAAAACTCTAAAATCAGTACAGTAAATAAAGAACAATGTTCAGAAAACAGGAGAATTCCAGACAGGAAACAACCAGGAAAACATAGTATTCTATTTACCAAAATCCCCAGTACATAGCTCAATTCAGTGGTACACAGAAATCAAAAGGAGCAACCGCTCTCAAACGTACATTCAATGAGAAAAGTCATATAAACAAAGTAAGCATTGAGTCATGAGGCTATATGTAAACTGAAGACAATAATGAGGATGAAGCGCCACTCTCAAAACAATCTTCATGGAAAAGATCCAACTCAAGTCCAGTGAAAAATGGAGCACTGCTTCTCAAAATAAGTCTTCAAAGGAAAGTCCCAATGGCATTCAACAGGGGTGCCCGGGTATTTTTGTACCCTTTTCGGGGAAAGCAATCCCCTTCCTCAGGAGTTGATAAATTCAGCAACTCTAGACTCTTATCAATAACAAAACATAACATCACATAGAGTAACAAGTATTTTCCAGCACAATTACAGTAGTAAAGATAATGGATACATCAAACATATAACATATACTCACATCATGCCAGGTAGCTTATACAAAAAGTGACTCTGCTTGAAGTAAATTCACACTGCGAGTAATTCTGAAGGGTCATCCACAGGTTTATAAAGAGTAATCAGAAACTTAAAGGAAACAGCTAAAATTAAGTGACTCGTTAAGTCCTTGAGGGGAAAGGGTTTTCAACTTAAAGATCCAGAACATTTCCCTTTGGGATAATAGTTCTTCCAAATTCATATGGGGTTTTGGTGTGATGCATTCCAGAGCACAAAATTTGAGAGAACTGGATGAATGTTTGTATTGTGTAAAGTGTGAATATAGGAGGGACTCCATAGATAAACATTTTATTCTAGATTTATGTTCAGAAATTCTAATTCTCAGAGGTTTTGTTGTTTTTCCAATATACCACAAACCACAGTCACATGTTAGAAGGTAGATAAGATTACTGCTGTTACAATTGGAAAAATGTTTGAGTGTGGTGCCCACTTTGTTCCTATAGTTGTGTACCTCCTTAGTTTTCCATGATTGCGGACAACATTTACAGCGTCCACAGGGGTAATGGCCTCTCAAAGTGCTTTTAGGTGTAGTAGTAGACGTGGTTAAATTTCCAGCCATGAAAGCCTTCGACAAAACAATAATAATTGTATTTCTTACCTGCCTCTCCTCGTGGCTTGAAGCAGGTTACAACATGACTAAAAACACATAATCATCACATAAAATACACATATTTAAACTTATTTCTACAAAACACATATATTAAAATATAACGAACACAAGACGCGAGCTTAAAATCCATGATTGAGATGGATTAAATATCCTAAATGAAATAAAATGGAGTTCCCTGTTTTCATATCAATGAAGAATATACTATAAAAACACAGGACTTCAAAAATGAAATGAACTGGGTAATTACAAAACCACAAAAGCCAAGGTTAGAAAAATCTTAGATGGGCACAACACTTTTTTTTGTCGTGTCAGGAGCGACTTGAGAAACTGCAAGTTGCTTCTGGTGTGAGAGAATAGGCCATCTGCAAGGACGTTGCTCAGGGGATGCCCAGGTGTTTTGATATTTTTACCATCCTTGTGGGAGGCTTCTCTCATGTCCCCGCATAAGGAGCTGGAGCTGACAGAGGGAGCTCATCCGCGCTCTCCCCGGTTTCGAACCTGCAACCTGTCAGTCTTCAGTCCTGCCAGCACAGGGGTTTAACCCACTGCGCCACCGGGGGCTCTGGGCACAACACTGAACAAAGAAAAATGTATACATATGAGTAAACAAAGGACAAATCAGTGTCAAAATAATCGAGAATTCTAGAAATGAACAGGGAGAAACTATTGCTGACACACCAAGATGTAAGTATAGTAAGGATGCAGATGATTATGTAATACAGCAATCTCTAATTTGTATTTATTGTATACAATTTCATGTGTGGGAGCGAGTGAAACAATATAAATAATTAGATGTAAAGTCTGTCTATGATTTCTTTTGTAAACTCTATGCACGGAAAGTCTACATATCTGTATATATATCTGGGTTTGGTTAGTTGATTTGTTTTGATAATTGATGAGCACTTTTTTGTTCATGTATCCAGTGTACTCGGGCAAAAAGATGGCTTTGCCTTGCAGCACAGCACTATTCTGCCTTGCTGTTTCGTTCCAAGAATAGTTCCTTATTAAAAATGCATATATTTTCCTTAAAGGGCACATGCTTCTTGCACCAAGCAGTAAAAATACTCTTTCTCTCCACTCCCCTTTTGCTTAATTAAAAAAAAAAAACCTCTTCCACATTGTGAAACAATGTAGTTTGAAATCTGAATATACTGATTAGTAATCTGAAAGGATTCAATAAAATCAACATTATTTCTTACAGTGCTCTATTTGGTGTGTTTATATATTTGTAAATAAACATCAATACAACATTTTAATTCTTCTGAGGTTTTTTTTTAAGTTTTTTTTTTTGTCGTGTCAGGAGCGACTTGAGAAACTGCAAGTCACTTCGGGTATGAGAGAATTGGCTGTCTGCAAGGATATTGCCCAGGGGACGCCCGGATGATTTGATGTTTTTATCATCCTTGTGGGAGGCTTCTCTCATGTCCCTGCATGAGGAGCTGGAGCTGATAGAGGGAGCTCATCCGCCTATCCCCAGATTCAAACCTGTGACCTGTCGGTCTTCTGTCCTGCCGGCACAGGGGTTTAACCCATTGCGCCACTGGGGTATGGGCCAACTCCCCCCACCCTTTTTTTTAGTCAAAAGGCAATACAGTCTTTCAGTGCTGCTCCAGATTATATTTTTGTACAGGAAGGCTAGAAGCAAAAATGACATAATCAGAGGCAACATTAGTCAAGGTAAAGGTTTCTCCTGACATTTAGTCTAGTTGTGTCCAATTCTGGGGGGTGGTGCTCATCTCAATTTCTAAGCCAAAGAGCCAGTGTTGTCCGTAGACACCTTCAAAGTCATGTGGTCAGCATGACTGCATGGAGCGCCCTTACCTTCCCACCAAGGTGGTACCTATTGATCTACTCACATTTGCATGTTTTCGAACGGCTATGTTAGCAAAAGCTGGAACTAACAGCGGGAACTCACCCCGCTCCCTGGATTCAAGGAAGCTCGGATGAATTTGCCTCTTTTGAGTTTCTAAAATGCAGCTGTTCTGCATGGCCTTTAATGTTTGAAATCACTCTCTTTCAACTGTTTAAAATTGTAATCAAAGATTGTTCAGGATTCATATCTTTGTAATTAAATATCTTTGTAAATTGACTTACACATGAACACAATCGAATTGAAAAGTTTTGCAACATCTGTATTTCCTTGGGACAATTAATGACACGATGTTACAATAAAGAGGTAAACATTGCACAATGGTAGCCAGTAGAACAGGCCATGGGCAAACGGCCCTTCACGTGTTTTGGACTTCAACTCCCACAGTTCCTAACAGCCTCAGGCCCCTTCCGTTTCCCCTTCAGCCGCTTAAGGGGAAAAAGAAAGGGCCTGAGTCTGTTAGGAATTGTGGGAGTTGAAATCCAAAACACCTGGACGGCCCAAGTTGGCCCATACCTACAGTAGAAAGACTGACACACTGTCAAGCAATGTGCAATGGGCAGCAATGCATGTTTCAACATTCTAGTTGTTGGTACTATTACTCTTGGTACTATTATTCACAGCAATTATCTATTTTTGCAAAAAGAAAAATCCCATCTGATTGGGAACATGGGAGTTGTCTTTGTGACTTGCTTTCTCTCAAAGGTATAAACGTGGGCCACTGAAATATTCCAGCCTTCATTTTTGGCTCACCTTTGAAAGAAAATAATAGACATTTTGTTATCAAGGAAACTGTAGGATTTTTTCCCCCTTTTACTTCTGGAAGCGCAGTTGGGCAGTGGTTCCTGTTGAATATCTCCCTCCTCTGAAGCCTATGACTTTTAATCAAATTCTTGGATGACACACAGCATAAGCTACAGGTATGAGACTCTAGGTGCTGCTGATTGTTGGTCCTAGAAACAGATAAAAACAACGACAGCAAGTGGTTCCCATGTTTGTGAAATGAAGAATCCACTCTAGGTTTGAAAGATATTATCCAAGGTGCTGAATAAATAACTTTATTTAGAAGCTAGGTTTCAGCACCTTGGATAGTTTTTTACTTTGCTGAGTGGCACACAAGCCAACAATGTCACTACTTGAAATGAGCTTAGAGATACAAACATAGGAGTGAAATAAATAAAGGTAGACTATTCTTATCTGCTTGACAATAATTTTTTTCCAGATGTTTGTAAGTTATTTATTTATTTATTATTTATGACTTGACAATTATTGAAGGCCTCTTGGTTATTCCGTGTTCGAGACAGCAACCCAACACTGTTTCTCCTATCTGGAGTAGAACTCGTGAATCCATCATTAAATGGTAAGTTAGTATTAACTATATATGCTCATGTATAAGCTTAAAAAATAGTTGCTAAAATCAACCCAGAAAACATGGTTGAGTCAATGTATGTTGTATGTACTGTATCCTAAGTCTTTTTAAAAAGGAACCATTCACTGCTCTGACTAGAGGGATGAAAGAGAAGTGCTATTCTTTGAAAACAGCACAGTTAGATAATTGAAAATAATTTAAAAAAATATGTATGTGCATTATATTGAGATGTTATTGCAAGAGAGAAGGCATATAGTCATGGATCTGGCATGAAGTTGTATTATTCTCTGATTAATCTTATGGATTTCTTATATGATTAGCTTGGTTTCCACATTTGCTGGTATTAAGGACAGAGGAAATCTATGAAAGTGGAAGGACACTAATAGATCTTGATGGCTTATCATCAATAATGTTGTGCATTGACACAACTTTCCCTAAGTGTGAGCATTCTAGATGTGTTGTACTGCAATTCTCATCATCCCCATAATATCTGGAGGGTGTCAGACTGGGGAAAAAACTAATTTAACTGATAGCTAACACTCTTCATTTGTGATTGATCTTTACTTTGCCAATTTAAAATATACTGGAGATCCATGTTGGTTATTATTAAGAAAAAAACTCTCTCTTTCTCTCTAGATATATGTGTGTGTGTGTGTGTGTGTGTCTGTGTGTCTGTGTCTGTGTGTGTATATACATATATACATATACTGCTGAATAAACTACAGTTGGACCAAATATAAATCCTGTTGGGAAGATGAGGCTTAAAAACAATTTATGACTGATTTAACAGACAAGAAGAGAGACCATCCGCACTACAGAATTATAGCAGTTTAACAGCACTTTAATTGCCAATGATACATCCTTGGTATTTGTAGTATGTTGTGACACCAGAACTCTCTGACAGAGAAGGATAAATATCACACAAAACTGCAAATGCCAGAATCCCATAGCATTGACCAAACTGCTACAATTCTGCAATGCCGATACATCTTGAGTCCTTTTTCTGAATTATTATACAGTATTTCATAAACTAACCTATTTATCATCAGTTAAATTAGTATAGTAACTTCTGCTCCAACAATGTAAACAAATTAATTGCAATAACATTCATTTATTACTGTTTGCATTTTGTGATAAAATGAGTTATTTTACAGCCCTTGGGATTCTCTTAACATCTATATGTCTGGTTGTTCCATGCTGCCATTGAACAGTGGATTGGGATGCTCCAAAGTGCTCAACCTTAAAGCTTCAATCTGTTTCCTTTTGAGATCCAGCCACCTTCATGAATGCCTCGGGTGTTACAGAATTTACTTTCTTGGGTCTACCCTCCTCCCGCCCTATCCAGCTCCTTCTCTTTATCCTGGCTTCAGGTTGCTACATCGCAAGCCTGCTGGGCAACCTGCTTATTGTGATAACAGTGTGTGCAGATAAACGTCTCCACCAGTCTCCCATGTACTTCTTCCTGGCCAACTTATCCATCATTGATACCGCCTTGGCCTCTGTGGCTACCCCCAAGATGATGGCAGACCTCATACACCATGGTAGGGCCATCCCTTTTGCAGGATGCATGACTCAACTCTTCTTCATCCACTTCCTGGGAGGTTCAGAGATGCTCCTCCTCACACTCATGGCTTATGATCGCTACATAGCCATCTGCCACCCACTTACTTATATTACCACCATGAACAGTTTGCGCTGTGTCAGACTCGTCATTTCCTGTTGGGTAGGAGGCCTGGTTCACTCAGTCACCCAGCTGGTCCTGATCATACGACTTCCATTTTGTGGGCCGAATGAGTTGGACAACTTCTTCTGTGATGTGCAACAGGTAGTCCAACTTGCTTGTGTTGATACCTACATCACAGAGATACTCATGGTGGCCAACAGCGGTCTGATTTCCTTGGTCTGTTTCATCATTTTGTTGGTCTCCTATGGCATCATCCTGGCCACTTTAAAAGACCACTTCAAGGAGAATGGAAGGAAAGCTCTGTCCACTTGCAGTTCTCACTTGACTGTGGTCAGCCTCATTTTTGTGCCTTGCCTCTTAGTTTACCTTGTGCCCTTGCCCAGTTCCAGTGTGGAAAAAATAGCTTCCACATTCTACACAGTTGTCACTCCTGCCCTCAATCCTATTGTATACACCCTAAGGAATCGGGAAATGAAAGAGGCCATGGGACGATTGAAGAATAGGTGCCTTTTTTCACACTCTAGTGTGCAAGGGGAAATTGTATGAGCTCTTTGTTTTAATCCTGTGTCTGTTACTAATTCCTCCTGGGTCTCTTTCATATTATGCAATTATTGCTCTTTAATACCATTTTAACTGTCATTGGTCTGTTATGTGATGTCAGCATATGCAAGAACTGCAAGGAGCTCAGTGTGTCTAGCTTCCCAGAAGATCAAATGAGACACAGATAAATTGAAGGCAAAAATCAAAGGTTCATTCTCAATTGCCAGAGAGGATGTCAGCAGAGAAAGCACTCCAAAGACTGACATATCCTCAATTATGAATGCATATTTTATTTATAGTAGATTTGACAGAAAGGCAGAGCAATACAGAACAATTTGAAATTGTTATGCCAGTTCCTCTTTGGTCATGGAGGGTGTGAGGTAGAATGTGCAGCCCTATTGGAGGAGGCGCGAGTCCGCTTCTGCCTCTGAGCCAATCAGAGACGAGGCAGGAAATTTAAAAAACTGTCATTTATGGATTGTGCCTGTTTGTGAGTCCTTCCCAGAAATTGGGTGCGTCTGGGTGGAACACAATTTGGTGGGTGGTTGACGTGTCCTGATGTTCTAATGCCAACTAGAAAAAGGAGATGCTGGCCAATGGACAAAAGGTATTTAAGAAGGATTCAATGAAAGGGTCCGGATAGGTGCTATAGATCAGGCGATGCCAGGTAGATACAGGAAATTGGATTATGGTGATTTTCCCAGGGTGAGGATGACTTCACCTTCACAAGGTGACTTCACATTCTGGGGAATTTCCAAGGAATTTCATTGTGGAAGTACTTGTGTATTATGGAAGTACTTGATTCATGGTCTGTCAGTCCTATTATTTCATGGTCCTACATTCTTCAACACAGATTTGTCTGTCTCCGGATATATCTAGACTAGTGGCTTTCAACCTGTGGGCCTCCAGGTGTTTTGGCCTACAACCCCCCAGAAATCCCAGTCAGTTTACCACCTGTTAGGATTACCGGGAGTTGAAGATATCTGGGGACCCATAGGTTGAGAACAACTGATCTAGACTGTAGGATTAATATAGTTTGGTGCCACTTTCACTGCATAGCTCAATGCTATGGAACCCTGGGAGTTGCATTATGTGGAGACACCAGCTTTGGTAGAGAAGGCAAAAGACATTGTAAAACTACATCTCCCAGGATTCCATAGCATTAGCGGGGCTTTTTCAGATGAGGTTAACAATGTCTTCCTGTGAACATAACCTATAGCAGGTGTTATTCTTTGGTGGTTTATCTTCCCAACAGCATGATGAAGCAGCATAACTAGGTGTGATGCTGCCTAGCCTTCAAGAACATTTAGGATTATGTTTCTTCACAGAATTTGGGCAGTGTTATTAGAATGAATTACTTTCTTAAAAGAGAAGGTCCTAGTTGTGAGTTTGACAAATGGGAAGAATAGCAAACTGGAGAAAGTGTGGCTAAATACATTATCAGTAGTTGGCCAGATGAGACCTGTTTCAACAAAGGAATGTAAAGTCCTTTCACTGGAGTTGTCAGACTTTGAACCATGGATTGTATGCATGTTCAATATGCACAGTGGCTCTTTTTGGCACACTCTCTTTTTAATTCATTTTTTGAGAACCACCATTCCTCTGAATGTTCTTTGCTTCCCTGTGGGCAGCAAAATCAGGCAATTCCAACTGGACGGCTCTCCATGAGGGTCTTCCTCCAGGGGCCAACCAAGAATGGGCAACTTGGAAGTCCCTGAACACACTCAGAAGCAGAGTTGGCAGATCAAAAGGCAGCCTGGCAAAATGGCAGGTTGTCACCTTGTGCAACTGTTGAACAGAGCAGACAACTCCACATCTGTATGTTTGCCCACAATGCCCTGCCTTGTGCACAGAAGAAGAATTGTTTAAAGCTACAGACAATGCAGTTGCTGATGCCAGTTTTTGATCTAAAACTATCTAACAACTTGTGATTCCTTTATTTTATCAGTTTTAGATAAAATGTTTTATGCAATGGTTTTGACACAGTCTATCTATCTAGCTATCTATCTGTCTTTTGGTGATGCACCTATGATTGCTTCTTCACCTAATAAATCTTAACTTGCCTAGGAATCAGAAATGAATGGACACGTAATTATAAGCGCACTGATTTTCCATAGTTCCAAATCACGTGGAGAATATCCACAGATAGCAGATACTCCTCAACGTCCATGTAGAGAGAGCAATAGAAAGGACACATAAGGTGCCATCACCCACAATAAACATGGTGGCATCATGCTGGATAGAAATATTTGTAATATGGCAGTTAGATTATCCATAGATTTGATTTCAAAGGCTGTCTCTAGAACTCCCTAGATGCTCCAGCATGAAGATTTTGTAAAGATTTTTTGTCAAAAGTTCAGGGGACTTCAAGATGCTGCACCTTGTTGTTGCTATTCATCAGGTATGGGCAAACTTTGGCCCTCCAGGTGTTTTGGATTTCAACTCCCACAATTCCAAATAGCCAGTAGGCTGTTAGGCATTGTGGGAGTTGAAGTCCAAAACACCTGGAGGGCCAAAGTTTGCCCATGCCTGCTATTCATGCTAAAATTTGGATTCGAAGGGTAGATTGTCTACTTAACTGGTGTAAACATCACCATTATGTCAGATGGTCAACCCTACATTCAATGAGATTTACTGTTTATGAATGATTCCACACAATATTTCTGAAATAAATTAAAGAGATTTTAATAGAGGTATACAAAAGGCTGAGGAAAATAAAATGCTCAGTAATTCAATGAATCCAGCTGAAGCCAAATCATGGAATCTAGCCAAAGGTATATTAGTCAATCAAATTCAAAGCAAATCAAAAATTTAAAAAGTTAAACAACAGTATCTAGTTTTCATACAAAATGCTTGATGTTATAAATTCCACATAAATTTAACAGAAGGGAAATGTTTCTGATTCACTGGGATGTGTGAAAAGTACAGGGCATGAACATGAATGTATCTCCAGTGTCCTTGTAAATCATCCCAACTAGAGTGTGCACCATAGCCTGAGATTTCTCATCTGGCATGAAAATCTGATGATATTTCCATTTTGTGCATGCTTGAATGATATTTTAGTTAATATTAAAACATGTGCAGAGTACTAACTCAAAAAAGTATGCATTTTCAATCACATATTGTACACAAACATGAACAAAACACAACCAATGGGCATGTCAACTAACAAACTGGATACCAAGAGACCACAAATGGCCTTTGGGCAGACCTCATATTCAAGGGGATGAACCAATGGTTAGGCTATTAGGCCAGAAATGGAAAAGAAAAGCACAAGATTGTATAGTTTGTCAAATGGTAGTTTTGCATGAAGCCCAAAGGAGTGGATTGACAACAAATTAGATAGGATAGGCTTGTACCTGGCACATCAATGGACAAAGTCAGCATTCTGGAAGAAACTTGCAAATGTAATGTACTGAAAAGTAATCAGACCAATTCAATGACATTATAATTGCACATGCAAACCAGTCAAGGAGCCCATTGGAAACTACACGAGGCTGTCAGGTGTCTATACTTACTTGTCAGGGGTCAATTTTTCTGTCAAGAGTCAATTATTATTATTATTATTATTATTATTATTATTATTATTATTAAACTTTATTTGTACCCCGCTAGCATCTCCCGCAGGACTTGATGCGGCTTACAAAGGCCAAGGCCTCAACACAACAACAGCAAAACAATAACAGTACAATTTAAAGCAAAATAAAACATAAGCAATAAAACAATACATCAATTACGCAGTAAAACCAGGGCCGGGCCAGTGATGGGTACAAGTTAAAAAGTGCTAGGTGTGGCAGGTGGTATTTGGATTTCAGGGCAAGTGCAATATGCAGAGAGTCTTAACTCTAATAAAGTCCTTCTGGGATGTAGTGCTGGAGATTATCCTATTCCAGAAAGGCACATCGGAATAGCCAGGTCTTCAGATTCTTCCTGAAGACTGCCAACGTGGGTGCTAGTCTAATGTCTTTGGGGAGGGTGTTCCAGAGTCGGGGGGCAACCACAGAGAAGGCCCTGTCCCTCGTCCCCACCAAATGCGCTTGTGACGCAGGTGGGATCGTAAGCAGGGTCTCTTGGGATGAGCGAAGGGATTGTGTGGGTTCATACACGGAGATGCGGTCACGCAGGTAGGGAGGTCCCAAACCGTTCAGGGCTTTGTAGGTAAGCACCTGCACCTTGAATTGGGCTCGGTAGGTAAACAGGCAGCCAATGGAGCTCCTTAAACAGGAGGGTTGACCTCTCTCTGTAAGGAGCACCAGTTAACATCCTGGCCACCGCCCGTTGAACCAGTTGGAATTTCCGAGCCGTTTTCAAGGGCAGCCCCACGTAGAGCGCATTACAGTAGTCCAATCTAGAGGTGACCAAGGCATGGACCACCCCGGCCAGATCAACCTTTGTGAGGTACGGTCGCAGCTGGTGCACGAGTCTTAGTTGTGCAAAAGCCCTCCCGGACACCGCCGACGCCTGAGCCTCAAACGTAAGAGATTAATCCAGGAGAACTCCCAACCTGCGGACCTGTGACTTCAGGGGGAGTTTAACCCCGTCCAGCACAGGTTGCCAACCTATACCCCGATCTGGTTTACGATTGACCAGGAGAACCTGTCATCAACTGCTGCAATACATATTGCACTATCTAGATGTGAATAAGATCGAAACTCCAAATTCACTTTCATGAAGTTCACGTGTAACATCACCTCTATACTTCATGGTGTTGCTCTCCAGATGTTGATGGAACATAATCCCAGAAGCTCTAGCTTAGTGATTCCCAATCTTTAAGAGACCGCAGACTACTGGAGCAAGAATTGGATACATAATGGACCATAGAAATCAGTCAACCCCTCTCCCTATCAACCAATTTTTAATTAACTAGAATTTATTAATTTATTAATCACCATACTAATATATACAGATACATTTTATTTTGTGATATAAAGACAAAACACCATAATGAGACATTGAAAAAATAAAGACAAAGCACCATAATGAGACATTGAAAAATGAATTTTTGATCTTGTATTTCTTCCACTAGACAGCCTCCTCCCCTCTTCCTTTCTCCTGAACTTAAGTACTCAGGTTTTAAGAGCCAGACTGGGAGAATGGGCTCCAAGAGCTTCTCTTCTGCAAACCCAGCCAAAGGGAGAAAGCACCAACATGCTTCCCTTCCTTTCCTTTCCCTTCCCTCCTCACAAGTAGCCAGTAACGGAGCTTCGCTTAGTTCCTGCCTTTACTGACCTACAGCCTGGAAAACTCACATCAGCCTAGTGATTCCGGCCACGAAAGCCTTCGACAATACAGTTATGAACATAGCAATCAGGAACATGGAACGGTTATGAATCAATAAATCTGTTGTGTATGCTTAACAAAGTAGTTATTGCTGAATATTAGCCAATTGTTTCCCATGGAAAACTAAGTAAATATTGTAAAACTTTGTAAGGTGAGAATATAACTCAAGAACTGTGCAGAAAACTACTGTGGCAAGGAGAATATTGCAGAGAATATTCATCCTTGCATGTGAGGCCAAAGGATGTGAAGATATTCCTACTTGATGTTTCCACAGCACCTCGAAAGAGACCTGGAATTGCACATGGAATCAATGTGCCCTCTTTGGATAGTACTTACAGCTAGTACATGATTGGGATCTCTAACACTGTTGCCCATTATTTTGTCTACCAACTAAGTAGAAACAAAAAGGTGGATCTGGAGTTTTAGCACAGCTGGTAAATCAGCAGCAGCCATAAGATCTATCAACCGAAAGTTGCAAGTTCAAAGCCCTGGGTCGGCATGAGTGGCTGACTGTCAGCCCTGCTCACTGTTTACCTAAGCAGTTCGAAAACAGCTTTAGCTGTAATTAGAGAAATTTGGTACCGCTAAAAGAGGGGAGGTGTTTTACAACACAATAAAGAAAAAGAAGATCAGAACATGCTGGAATGAGGAAGCGATGATGATTCTTTGTCATAGAGGCTGGAGCGACAGCACCCCCTGTGGACTTGAGCCCAACCATCCATGGCATTGAAACAACACCTCCTTCTGTGCTGTCTGTCTATGTACTGTCTATACAAAAAGCATTGAATGTTTGCCATGTATGTGTATTTGTGATCCGCCCTGAGTCCCCTTTGGGGTGAGAAGGGTGGAATACAAATAAAGTGTTGTTGTTGTTGTTGTTGTTGTTGTTGTTGTTACTATTGTTATTATCTGAAACACAACAAGATGAGTCCACAGCAGACACTCTGCTGGCTGTTGTATTGGATCACACATCGGACACTTCTCAAGTGTCTAGGAATGTGTGATGTATCGGCGAATAATGCGTGCAGATCCCAGTAAGGTGGTCTTTTGAAACTGACAGGTGGTAATCTTGTCAGTTTTCATTGTGTTTAAGTGCAGGCCAAGGTCTTTAGGCACTGCACCCAGTGTGCCGATCACCTCTAGGACCACCTTGACTGGCTTGTGCCAGAGTCTTTGCAGTTCAATCTTTAAATACTCATATGTGTCAGCTTTTCCAGTTGTTTCTCTTCAAAACCTGCTGTCACCTGGGATTGCAACATCGACAATCCATACTTTGATTATTATTATTATTATTATTACTGTAAGTACTGTAAATGAAATTTAAGAATCTTGAATCTGTTTCATTGCTAAAAACACAGCAAAGATCTTAAATATTTCTTAAATATACACTCTTATACCACCAAGCATAGTCAAAATGCATACCACTGATAGCTCAAGAAATAAACCTTTGTATTAAATCAGTTTGGAACAATCTTTATGATGAACATGTTTTTTTAATCCCCAAAAAGCTATTCTTTTTGCATTACCAAAAGCCGCTTACATTTATGTTTCAGCTTCCTCATGGCTTCTTTTATTTCTTTGTTCCTCAGCGTGTAGATGAAGGGATTGAGAGCCGGTGTAACAAGCATGTAAAATGTGGAAACCACTTTGTTCTTCTGGGAGTTGGAGAAAGGTTTCAGATACACAATAACGCAGGGCACATAGAAGAGGCTGACCACTATCAAGTGGGACCCGCAAGTGGACAAAGCCTTCCCTCCACCTTTCCCAAAACGATTACACACAGTGGTCAGGATTGTGGAGTACGACACCAGCAAGGTCAAAAAGCATGGTAGAGTTATCAAGCCACTGTTCACTATGGTGATGACCTCAAAAGCATAGATATCCATGCAAGCGAGCTTAATCACCTGTGGAAGTTCACAGTAGAAGTTATCTAGGACATTAGGTCCACAAAAGGGCAAGTAGGCAACCACTGCTGCATGGATGATGGAGTGAAGGAAGCCTCCTGTCCAACAGACTACAAGCATTTTAAAGCAATACTGCCGGTCCATGATGGCCCCGTATCTCAGCGGGTGGCAGATGGCCACATAACGGTCGTAGGCCATAACAGAGAGGATAAGCATCTCGGTTCCTCCAAAAAAGTGGAGGTAGAAAAGCTGCCCCATGCAACCTGCATAGGAGATGGAATGGCCACACTTCAACAAGTCCGCTGCAAATTTGGGGGCTGCTACTGAAGCAAAAGTCATGTCGGTAAGGCTCAGGTTGGCGAGGAAGAAATACATGGGAGAGTTTCGCAGGTGAGGGTCAGACAAAACAGTTGCCAAAATCAAGCAGTTGCCCAGAAGAGTGATGGCATAGCAAGCCAAGACTAGAGTGGAGAGGTAGGTCTGAACAGGGCAAGGGAAGCGGAAGCCCAGCAAAATAAACTCCAAAACTGTGGTTCCATTCATGGTGACAACTGACGCTAAGGGAAGAAATGAAGTTAACAGTTATATTAAGATAAGCAATATGTGATGTAAAAATTACACAAGAGGAAATGCTGTTAAGCAGGATTGCTATAATCCAGTTAGAATCATAGAATCTTAGAGTTGGAAGAGACCTTCTGGGCCATCCAGTCCAACCCCTTGCCAAGAAGCAGTAAAATTACATTCAAAGCACCCCTGACGGATGGCCATCCAGCCTCTGATGAAAAGCCTCCAGAGAAGGAGCCTTCACCACACTCTGAAGCAGAGAGTTCCACTGCTGAACAGCTTGCACAGTTAGGAAGTTCTTCCTCATGTTCAGGTGGAATTTCCTTTCCTGTAGCTTGAAGCCAATCCAGGTCACCCAATTTTCATCTTTTGCCCATTAAGCATCTTCTTTTCTGTGTTGTATTCCAACCATCATGTTGCCACTCATACCATTTATATAGTAAGCACAAATTTGAATGACCCATTATTTACTTACTTACTTACTTACTTATTTACTGTATTTGTATACCACCCTTCTCAGCCCTCAGACAACTCAGGGCAGTTTACAATGGCAATGATTTGATGCCCAAAAACACCATAAAACATTTAAAAACAATAACACATAATATAAAACCATAACAAGAATATTAAAACATAGATAATTTGCGTCTCTTAATTAAAAACATTGTCCAATTGTCATTGTCATTATGCTGCAATGATGGACCACTTAGGCCCCTTCTATACAGCTGTATAAAATTCACATTATCTACTTTGAACTGGATTATATGGCAGGGTAGACCAAAATAATCCAGTTCAGATTTTGTGGATTTTCTGCTTTGATAACCTGGAATATCTGGCAGCATAGAAGGGGACGCAGTTGCAACCTTATATCAGCCAACTTTCAGAAATCACATACAACAGACATGTATATTGCATGTGAAATAGAAACAACAACAGCAGCAGCAACACATACAATATCTGCCTGTGATATTCTTGTTGGACCACTGAGTTTCCCCCTCAAATGGTTGACAAAATCCTATAGAGCAGGAATGGACAAACTTTGGCCCTCCAGGTGTTTTGGACTTCAACTCCCAGAATTCCTAACAGCCTTGGGCCCTTTCCTTTTCCCTTAAGTGGCTTAAGCGGCTGAGGGGGAAAAGGAAGGGGCCCAAGGCTGTTAGGAATTATGGGAGTTGAAGTCCAAAACACCTGGAGGGTCCAAGTTTTTCCATGCCTGCTATAGAGTCATAAGAATGGGAGAAGAAATCACCATAACCTCCTGCTGTTGCATCCAAACTTCAAGCTAATACTAGAGGCAATGCATTACCATCCTGATTAGAAGTCATTTGTGGCTCTATTTTCCATGGATTTATCCAATTTACTTTTATGCCCATCTAAGTCATAACTACCTCTTGTGGTAGTGAATTCCACACATTAATTTGCTTTGTGTGAAGAAGAAATATGTCAGCTTAAACTCATACAAATCAAAGAAAGACCAAATAATATTCTCGGGATTTCCTTCTTTCCAGACAGGCATAGGACACAGAAATCATCAATAACCATTGACATCACAAACTACCAGAGCTGCTGTCATAACCACTGAAAGACGACTCAAGCATATCTTAAATACTGGCTCTCAAAGTAGATTGAGTTATACAAGCCTACCTACTATCTTTCAGAAGTAACCTACTTGGATGGGCAGCTACACATCCAATGAAATATGATGAGGTAGACAGAAAAAGATTGTAGTCAAATGTTCCTTTGTGAAAAATGGAAAATAGTGAGGTTACTTGTTAGGAAAGAGTTCATCCTAACAACCATGAACAATGAGAATATGATGGAGAATGTGTCCATTCTTTCATATTCCTTTCCAGATCACGTAGAAGGAAATTGAAAAGAGCCTTCTGTATATAATACTCCTGGATCAGATGGTTTAAGATGGTGCCTTTTAAAGGTTAGGTTTTTTTCTTCTTCATAAGATTGATAAAGGATGAAGAAAGCACTCTGGAGTGTACTGCTTGTTGTTTACTCTCAAAGGGGCAATTAACATCTAATGGGATTTTGAAGTCTTTTTTTATACAACATAACCCTTCAGAGACGCACTGAAACATGCATTCCCTCCTTGGTTTAATGTAGTATGTTGTGACATTAAAGTGTGACAGTTTAGCAGCAGGTTGTTTCACTCATGAGGAGTCCCCAAGAGATGGGGTTAGGTCTGCTCCCACTTCTGAGCAACAAAAATGTTCATCTAGATCAGTGGTTTCCAACCTTGACCAGGGATCACTTGACGAGAGAACACTTTGACCAAGGATCACTCTCCAACATTAGTACCAAAAAGGTTACAATCTTTAGATTCGGTTTGGTTATTTGGGTTGCTGATTCAGAAAATTGCATTGGATAGACCACATATGCTCTAGTTTCTGAAACAGAACATATGCCATCCAGTAATTGCCATCTGCTTTCTCACAGAAAACTATATTAACAAAAATATTCATCTAGACCAGTGGTTTCCAACCTTGACCAGGGATCACTTGACAAGGGACCACTTTGACCAAAGACCACTCTCCAACATTAGTACCAAAAAGGTTACGAAATTTAGATTCAGTTTGGTTATTTGGGGTGCTGATTCAGAAAATTGCATTGGATAGACCACATAAGCTCTAGTTTCTGATACAGAACATATGCCATCCGGTAATTGCCATCTGCTTACCCACAGAAAACCATATTAACAAAAATGTTCATCTAGACCAGTGGTTTCCAACCTTGACCAGGGATCACTTGATGAGAGACCACTTTGACCGAGGACCACTCTCCAACATTAGTACCAAAAAGGTTACGAACTTTAGATTCGGTTTGGTTATTTGGGGTGATGATTCAGAAAATTGCATTGCACAGACCACATAAGCTCTAGTTTCTGATACAAGACATATGCCACCCAGTAATTGCCATCTGCTTGCCCACAGAAAACCATATTTAATAAGCCTTGGCAATGTAACAGGATTTTGCAAAACTGGTCGCTCTCATTGCAATGGTGTAGTAATGGTGAGGCAGTGGACCATATTTTAGTTTTTCCAGACCACTGGTGATCCATGGACCACACGTTGGGAACCACTGGTTTAGATCAATGATAGGTAACTCAGTTGCCTTACAGATATGTTTCAACTCATATATTATTAGGGTCATAGTTCAATATTGTTGACACCAGTTGACAATGGTTGTTCAAGTCACACAACCTTTCATACTTGGAACTGAAAAGGATTGGACCTCGGATCTGGGCACACCCCTCCACTGAGCTAAAGCCCTTTCCCAAACTCTTTTAACATAAAGACTTGGGGAAAACCTAAGGGTCTCCCAGTGCATGGAACTGCAGCTCTCATCTGTCCCCATGGCCAAATGAACATACTGCAGGGGTTTGTGGGAATTCATCTTGATTTTATGAGTTGTAGTTCACACTTATCCAGAGAGCACTGATGTTGGATCAGGACCACACTTGGCACACAGACCTAACATGGCCAGCTGTGTATACAGGCCTGGTTTGAGGAGAATTGACTCATGATTCTGGAAAATGTAGTTCACCCACATCGTTATGTATTTTCTAATGGGAGCATTCATAACAAAATTAAATACAGGCTTTTCCCCTAATAAATAGTGTTATTAATTAACTAAGTTATATTGCCTAACACCCCAAAACAAACAATGCCTTTTCAAATAATCGAGGCACCGCCAAGTGCCCAAACTAGCATATACATACATACATATAGCAGAATTTCAGAAGTGTTCCTTTAGTTGCCCCAAAATATATTTGCATTTAAATCATGCTCTCAAGAGACAAAAAAGCAGACTTCTTTAAAAATAACATAGTTGCTTTACTCACAAACTTCATGTATTCAGCATACAGTAGTATTAGTAGTAATTTTATTGATTAGCCCTTAGGTCATATCACAATATCAAACAAAACAACAAGGCTTGATAAGACTTGATTGCACTCTATGCAGTAAGTTAAAATAAGACACTTATAACAATATAGTAAATAAATATGATATGGCAAAACTGATAAAACTGAATATATACTTCATATTCAGCATACAGGTACTTTGCATATGAATCCAATTACAAATAGGATTTGAAGTAGTTTCTCTGTATTACCTACACAGAGCATCATTTCTTATAATCAACAATCCAAAGTTCAAAGCAGGTCTCTGTTCTATGAGTCTAATAGTCTCTATCTAGTCTGAAAGTCCAATGAAGTCTGTAACCACACAGTTCCTACAAAGTCTAAGCATACAGTTTGTTTAAGTCTAAAGCATACTGTTCCTGCATTGAAGTCTAAACTACTTACAGAAGTCTAAACTGCACTGTTCTAAAATGGAGTCTGAGTCCTGAACAAGCCCAGTTCTGATCACATGGTCTGTAACTTCTCTCACAACATAGAGCCAAGGAAAAAAACTGCAAACCAATATATACATATTCATTAGTGTAAACAATCTGAATTACCGTATATACATAACAAATAACTAGTGGAGGCTTGAAGAAGGTTGCTACTTCCAATAAAGTTAGCCCACAGTAATCAATGTTTTCTAGTTCCCATTAAAATTATTTTGTGACAGCATTTAAATGCATTTTAAAGGACACTTTTTAAGGGATTTGAACATTTAAAAGTATTTATTAATTCCAACATAAGCATTCTAAATCACAAAGTAATAATCATCCAGTAAAAAGACAGAAAGAAGAAAAGAAACAAAAAGGAAATTATAGGTGTGTGTAACTAAAACAACAGCAGGAAGGGGTTTGGTGCAGAACCCTGAAAAAGGAAAACACAAATAAAAAATCCTATATTCTATATTATAAAAATCTGAAATAACAGCTTTCTAGGAATCAGTAGGTCCTCCAAGATGATCTTCCAATATTCAGTAATTAAACCCCCTAATGAGGAAGGCCAATTGCAAGTGAAAACTAAAATGTTTGTTGAAGGCTTTCATAGCTGGAATCACTGGGTTGCTGTGAGTTTTCCGAGCTATGTGGTCATGTTCCAGAAGCATTCTCTCCTGACATTTCATCCACATCTGTCTGTCATAGATGTGGGCGAAACATCAGGAGAAAATGCTTTTTGAACATGGCCATACAGCCCGGAAAACTCACACCAACCTTCTGCTTGTTTGTATTTTCTTATTTTATGTTCCTTCAATTATCTATTGTATTGTCATTGCTTCTTGATTTTTTTTTATTCTGTAGTTTTTTTAATAAAAGAAAAATGTATCTTAAGATCACCGGTGCGTCAAAGTTTTCCTGTTCTTTTCTAGTTCATGTCTCTGTACCTGGTTTTAATTCAGCACCTTGGACAGCTCCTTCTGATGAAAACCTGGAGGAGATTTACAGCTCCATTAATCTGAGAGCCACTCATCACATCAGTTTAGGATTCAACAGAGAATAGCATCAGACTTTTAAATCTCAGAGAGTCTAAAAATGCCCTTTCAAAGTAATTTTTAGCAGTAACTAGAAAACATTACTCACAGCGCCCGGTGGGATGACTTTGCTCCCACTCACTCCATTAGTTTTGACATATCATTTCATTACACCCTTCGGACTAACAAAGGCAACTTGTTGCATTTTCCTTTCTTTAGGAGTGATGCCATAGCCAGTTTGTTTGCCACATATCAGTGATAACTTGATAGAGCTGGGGGTATTTTCATATAAAATAACTTTATAACTTCATGGGTTGTGGGAAGCTTATGGGATTCCCAGTTACCCACCAGTATTCAAGAAAGTAGTAGAATTTGGGGAATTGTTGATCTGAGTAGTTGTAAAAACAATTTATCCATATTACTTGTTTGGAAAATTTTTTTTTTGCTGGTCCTTGCTGCAATGATTGAAAAGAACTTTTCATGTTTTGTTTCATGTTTTGTACTTCTTGTTACTAATTGTTCTTGTTTTTCTGCTTTTTTGATTCAATTTATAATAGAAATTATAATATGTGAACAACATTTCCAAAAATTTACATAACTAATGACCCATATCTCTCACTAAACGAGAATCTAACAAACATATATACATAAGGTTGCTGTGAGATTTCTGGGCTGTATGGCCATGTTCCAGAAGCATTCTCTTCTGGTATTTTACCCATATCTATGGCAGGCATCCTCAGAGGTTGTGAGGTCTGTTGGAAACTAGGCAAGTGAGGTTTATACTGTTTGTCTCACTAGATAATAAATATAAAGTTAAAGCATAATAAACACAATTAAATGCATTTTAAACACCCCCTCTACAAAAAAAATCCCACCCCAAACTTCCCAAAGTTCATGATAAACTGGTGCTCCATTGTGGTGAGCCACAATATAAATAAGTGCAATTATTCCTTTGTGGATCTAAGACTCTCCTCAAATGGTCACTTCTGCTCATCTACTGACTTTTGTGTGTGTCAGGAGTGACTTGAGAAACTGCAAATTGTGTGAATTGGCTGTCCACAAGGATGTTGCCCAGGGGGCACCTGAATGTTTTGACGTTTTACCATCCTTGTGGGAGGCTTCTCTCATGTCCCTGCATGGGGAGCTGGAGCTGACAGAGGAAACTCATCCACGCTCTCCCCAGATAGGACCAGCAAGTAGACTTCCATCCTCTTAATCTGTTCAGACTGTGGTTTAAGCAGATACACCTTTGTGTTCTTTGGTGAATAGATTGATGTATTAGCACTGCTTTCACTCATTGAGAACCTTCAAGCCATTCCTGACTTATGGTCTTTAAGCTATTCCTTACTAGGCTTGTGCATGGATCCATTTCAGTTGTTTTCCTTCAGCCAATCCAGTTTTGTCAGCTTGGCTGGGTGGCTGTAACGGCAAGGGTCCAGCCGACATGGGTTCCCATCCGTAACGGGACCATGTGGCAGCTGATCACGGCTCCTCCTCCTCTATTTGCCATCACAGTTGCATCCTGGCTTCAGTGTATTTTTTCACTTGGCCTCTCTTTTTTGTTTTCCTTGATTTTCTTGATTCTTTTTATCTAGTGGAACTAACTGGGAGTTGGTAATGTGTGGGACAGGTGGGTGGGGTATGCACATATGTTTGGGGGCTTGGGAGAGTCACCCTTTTAGCTTCCTTTTCTCCTCCCCTTCAGAAAATACATCTAAAAGATCATTATGATTCATGCTAGTAATCCCAGCAAACAAAAACAAAAGCCTCATTCTCAGAAAACTACTACCACTTAGTTACCTCTAGAGCAGAAAGTAGAAACAGTTTTAAGGAAGCATTAAACCCAAAGCAGAAAAGTGTGAGGGGGGGAAAGGCAGGCAACACTTCAGGCAGGGCCTGCAATGCAAATCAAGACAAAAGACATAGCTTTTTAAAGGAAGCCTAGGGTAGGATACCTCCAGGTCATCACTCTTCCTTCACTGGGAAGGGGGAAGCCTACTTAAAATGCCTTGGAATGCTGTCTGCAGGAAGAGAGCATGCATCTGTCTCCTCTAGAGTAGAAACAGCTTTAATGGAGCATTAAACCCAGGTGTCCTCTGTAGACCAAGGGGAAAAGATCCGGAAAGAGTGGCATCTTAATTCTGTTGCTTTTTGGCTCCTAATCAAGGGTATGAGGACAAACTATGCCATTGCCTGAAATGATGGGAAGGGGAGCCTGGGTAGCTTGCCCATTGCCACCAATGGGCTAGATCTAGCTGCATTTTTCAGCTATGGTCTGAAAACGGGCATCTGGCTGCGTGGCCATATTTGAGAGGTGCGTGAAACCAGTAACGGAGGTCTACTGGTATCCAACCAGCAGAAATGGATTGAGGTTCAGCCGAAAGGCACAAGCCTATTACTTACTAAGTTGAAACTATCAAGGGGTTTTGTGATGAAGTGTAAATTTTTGACTTGCAGTTATGTATAGTTATATATAGATGTTTTAAAGGGTAAGTATTTAATGTTGCATAACTAAGGGGGATGGTAGCCAGCTCAGCTCATGTTGAGCTGGGTTACCATGGAAACAGGGGCGGAGCCAACTGCCACTTGGCAGGGCAGCCATTTTAAAACAGTTAGTCTGCAGTCTGTGAACTGTAGGAGTGGCTGGTTCTGTTGGGTAGTGAGAACCAGGAAGGTAATCTGTAGTTTAAAAACTACAGGTAAAGGCTGATTCTATAGTAGAGAGAATCAGGAAGGTTTTCGCTTTTAGCCTGAGTAGTTTAAATAAGTCGAGTTGACTTAATTATATTAATAGTTAGTGAATGAGAGAAAGGGTGAGAGAAACCCAGTGAGGATCTCTATTGCAACAGAAACATCACAAAAAAAAAAAGAAAAAAAAAAAAGAATAAGCTTGTAACTGAAGTAACTTATTAAGGAAAGGAACACAGTTTAAAGAAAAATAAGTTTGAAACCTGTTTAGTGGAAGGAAGTGTCCTTCCCAGGGTTGTTTAAGGAATGTTATAAATGTAACCCTTGAAGATTTGTGCCTTTAAGAGTTAAATTACATTGAAACCATCACGCTCCTTTTACATTTCAATAAACTTGTTACTGTTTTTCCTAAAGCCTTGTCTCTGATACAATTCCTTTCCAAGTTAAGTCACGCTACACAGAAGAAAGACCAAATCAATATTATTAGCTATAAGCTACGCTATCAGTTTAATAAGCCCTTACAGAGTGGTGGCTCCTTTACAAATGTTTACAAATTGGTGGCCTCATCACAAATTAGTGGCATCTTCGCGCATCGTCGCAGGTTTTCTTGGTGTTACCTCTGTGGATGGAGTGTGATTTGCCCAAGGGTGTTTCTGTGGCTGAGTAGGGATTCATATCCTGACATCCCAACTTCCATGTCCAACATTGAAACCACTACACTGTGCTGGCGGTTGATATTCAGATTATAATGAGCAATGTGTCAAACAAGTCATATAGTAAATTGGATAGACATACTGGAAATACACATCACCAGGCTCATCCTGGTTGCAGGCCTTCTGCCTTCTCCATCTCCCACTGTAATGTTCATTTCTCTTGGGAGGTTTTCCTTCGCATCCTCCATTGGGAAAAACCATAGTTTTACTTTTAATTATGCCTCTTGAAACAAACCCAGCACTTGGTTGCTTCTGTTGCTCTCTTGGGAACTCACTTGATTCGGGAACTTCTAAGCCCATTTAGCTACTGTAGATGAAACTATATGTTGCTGAGAAGATGTTGATCTGCCAGAGAGGACATCTGTGGTGCTGGAAAGACATGACTTCCCCTCCTGGTAGGTGTTAGGGTAGGTTTTGTAACTCTTTTGTAAAGCTGGTGTGGCTTCAGTGGCTCAGTGAAAGGCAGAAATGAAAGAGGTGGCCTGTTTGCCATCTCTAGAAGTGCCTTCACCACAATACTGCCACTACCATCTTACTTTCCTAATACTTCTTAATACTGTTGCAAGGCTTTAGGAAAATAATATACAATTGTATCTAAATCCTAGTTCGGCTTTTGTATGTTTGTTTTTTCTGCTCCTAGATTTATTTACATATGAGTTTACTGCACTCAGTGAAGGAAGACAGGGAGGAACTAAAGGTTAAATTTTGGATCAGAGGCTGGATCTACATAGCCAGACAATAAAGTCTGAATTGTATTATATAGTCCGTTCAAACTGCATTTATAGCAGTGTAGATTCATCTTGGGAGCAAGTCAGAATAGCATCTTTATCTAAACCAGGTATGGGCAAACCCAAGCCCAAGGGCCAGATGTGGCCCTTTCAGCTCTTTTCTCAGGCCCTCCTGTCTCTCATCATCCTATCCTATCCTATCCTTCCTTCCTTCCTGCTTTCTTTCCTTCCTTCTTCCCTCCCTCTTTCTCCCTCCCTCCATTCCCTTCCACCCTTTTGTCCTTCCTTCCCTGCCTACCTCTTTCTCCTTTCATCCTTCCCTTCCACCCTTTCATCCTTCCTTCCTTTCCTCTTTCATCCCTCTTTCTCCTTCCTTCTTTCTTTCCTTCCTTCTTTCCTTCCTTCCTTCCTTCCTTCCTTCCTTCCTTCCTTCCTTCCTTCCTTCCTTCCTCCCTTCCCTCCCTTTTCTCTTTCCTTCTCTTTTTCCTTCCTCCTTCCCTTCCCTTCCTTCCAACCTTCCCTTTTGTCTTTCCTTTCTTCCCTCTTTCCTACCTCCTTCCCTTCCTCTCGTTTGCCCTTCCTTCCTTCTCTCTTTCCTTCCTTCCATCACTGGGCAGCCAGTTCTCCTAGAAGAAAGTGCTAGCATGTGGCCCCCAAGTTAAAAAGTTTGCCCAGGCCTGAACTAGACTAAACATAGGGCTAAATCCTCTTGGTAGTCCTATCTACAATAGGCTCATTGAATTAATAAGATTCTGTGTGATTTGGCCAATAGTGTCCAAAACATTATGACTGAAGATTGTTTGGATGTAAAGAATTAGAAAGCAAATTCAGGTTGAAGGTTTACCATCTTGTTTTGCTTTGCATTACTTCCCTCCACTGTTTCCTCCCGGTACTATTTATTTGTTCTTTTGCTTGTCTGAAATATATGAAGAATTGGAGGAACAAATGGATACATCAACTTAGTCCAATTTGCATTCATTCCTGACTCCAATATAAATCAAGTGACAGTGGTGACTTTCCTTTCCCCTTCCTGTACTATTTCTTCTTTCTTTCTCCTTTCCTCCTTTTCATATTTAGGTCGAACTCCCTTAAATCTCATACAAAAGATGGATAGTGTCACAGGAGCTGCTGAAGTTACATCAGTAGACTCACCACCAAACAGCACTGGACTGAGGAACAGCACTGGAGTGACCGAGTTTATCTTGACAGGGTTGTCCCATGGACGTGGAACCCAGTTTTTCCTCTTTGTCCTCTTCCTCACTTTCTACCTGATTGTCCTTCCAAGCAACATTTTGATCATCATCGCCATCCGGGGCGATCCCCACCTCAGCTCACCCATGTACTTCTTACTGGCCAACTTGGCTTTCTTGGACATCTGGTATTCCTCCATCACTGCTCCCAAAATGCTGGTTGACTTCTTTGCAGAGCGCAAGGTCATTTCCTTTGGGGGCTGCATTGCTCAGCTCTTCTTTCTCCATTTTGTAGGGGCCTCTGAGATGTTCCTGCTCACCATCATGGCCTATGACCGCTACGTTGCCATATGCCGGCCCCTACACTATACCAACTTGATGAGCCGGCACCTTTGCATTGTACTGGTGATAGTAGCTTGGGCTGGGGGCTTTGTCCACTCCCTCATTCAGGTCATGCTGATTCTCCGCCTCCCTTTCTGTGGACCCAATGAACTGGACAACTACTTCTGTGATATCACCCAAGTGTTGAGGATCGCCTGTGCTGACACCTTTGCCGAGGAGATGGTGATGATCTTCAGCAGTGGCCTCATCTCTGTGGTCTGCTTCATAGCCCTCTTGGTCTCATATGCCTTTTTGGTCACCATGTTGAAAAAGAATGCCAGTGATTCAGCGAGCAAAGCACTCTCCACTTGTTATTCCCACATCACCATTGTCATTTTCATGTTTGGTCCTGCTATTTACATCTATGCCCGACCTTTTGACAAATATGCCCCTGATAAGGTGGTCTCTGTCTTCCACACCATCATCTTTCCCCTCCTGAATCCCATCATTTACACCCTCAGGAACAAGGAGATCACAACAGTCATGAAGAGGGTTGTTACCCAACACCTCGTTTGCAAGAAATATTGCAGATGACTTTTTTTAACATTATTATTATTATTATTATTATTATTATTATTATTATTATTATTCCTTACTTATTGCCTTGAACACAATCATTTTAATACCTCCACATTTTCTACCACATAGCTGTTGAGATGCAATCACAGAAAAATGCATTATATGAGTGTACAATGACCATATAATACAGGATCAAGCAGCATTATATAGAAGTATAGATGAGCCCTTACGGTTGGAAGGGTTATCTAATCGAGCTTCCAACTATGCAGGAAAACACAACTACAGTGCTCCTGAAAGATGCTCATTCAATCTCTTTTTTTAAAAAAATGTTAAAGTTGCCTATGGTTTTGAGCTTGGAAATGCCTTTTCAACATGATCAACACTATCGTCCAGGTCCTATGAACTGACTAGGGCAGGGGTCCTCAAACTAAGGCCCATGGTCTGGATACAGCCCTCCAAGGTTATTTACTCAGCACTTGCTTACGGTCAACCTAAGTTTGAAACTACTTGAAAGCACACAACAACAACAACAACAACAACAACAATCCTATCTCATCAGCCAAAGCAGGCCCACACTTCCCATTGAAATACTAATACGTTTATATTTGTTAAAATTGCTCTTCATTTTAATTATTGTATTGTCAAAGGCTTTCATGGCTGGAATCACTAGGTTTTTGTGGGTTTTTTCGGGCTATAGGGCCATGTTCTAGAGGCATTTCTCCTGACGTTCCGCCTGCATCTATGGCAAGCATCCTCAGAGGTAGTGAGGTCTGTTGGAATTAGGACAATGGGTTTATATATCTGTGGAATGGCTGGGGTGGGGCAAGGAGCTCTTCCCTGCTGGAGCTAGGTGTGAATGTTTCAACTGACCACCTTCATTAGCATTTGAAGGCCTGGCTGAGCCTGGGAAAATCCCCTGTTGAGAGGTGTTAAGATGTGCCTGGTTGTTTCCTCTCTGCTGTTTTGCTGTTGTAATTTTAGAGTTGTTTTAAGAGTTTTTTAAAGAGTTTTTTCCACAGATATATATACCCATTGTCCTAATTCCAACAGACCTCACTACCTCTGAGTATGCTTGCCATAGATGCAGGCAAAACGTCAGGAGAAATGCCTCTAGAACATGGCCCTATATCCTGAAAAAACCCACAAGAACCTAATTATTGTATTGTTTTTAGGTGTTTTGCACTACAAATAAGATATGTGCAGTGTGTATAGGAATTAATTCATGCTTTTTTCAAATTATCCAGCCCTTCAACAGTTTGAGGGACTGTGACCTGGCCCTCTGTTTAAAAGGTTTGAGGGCCCCTGGACTAGAGTATGGGATATGCATTTCAGTTTTTACTATGTGATATGTATTTAAAGTTTTAAATTGGGGTGTTGTGTGGTTTGAGAGCTGTATGGCTGTGTTCTAGCAACATTTTCTCCTGACGTTTTGCCTGCATCTCTGACTGGCATCTTCAGAAGATGCCAGGTTTACATTGCCTTAAATTGTTTCTGAGTTAATATCTTTACAAGTTTTGTTTTGGTTCATCAGCTGAGAAACCTTCAGTCATGAGAAGAGACAAACATAAGGGATGAGAGTCTCACATTAAAACTGATCATATAACCTTTCTATATGTTCTACTGGAGCCCCCGATGGCACAATGGGTTAATTCATTTTTTTTCAGCAGGACTGCTGACTGAAATGTTGGTGATTAGAATCCAGGGAGTAGGGTGAGCTCCCATCTGTCAGCTCTAGCTTCTCATGCGGAGACATGAGGGTGTCCCTTGGGCAATCCTTGCAGACAGCCTATTCTCTCACACCAAAAATGACTTGCAGTTTTTTAAGTTGCTTCTGACATGAAAAAATATATGTTCTACTGTGCTTTTTTCCAAATTGAGCCCTGGCTGCTAGACATGGTGACTGGAGATATTAGAGATTATAATCCTACAATACCTTGGAACCCAAAAGTGGTAAATGGTTCCCATCATTTCCACGAAGAACTAAAATATTTTTTTTCAAAAATTTTGAGCTATTTTCAGTGCTATACATCTGACAAATACAAAATTCCTCATCACACCAAACTGCATGCAAATAAGTAAATAATCAGATGACACATCTTCTTCTACAGATGCAGGTAAAATGTCAGGAGAAAATGCTGCTAGCACACATCCATACAGTCCGGACACCACACAGCGCTCCAGATTACATATCTTTAGATCAATCGGAACCTCCTCTCACTATTGTGATATAGCTGAGTCTCCTTGTGGAGATAAAAAGCAGGGTATAAATAATAAAAATAAACATAATAAACATAATAAACATAACAACAACAACAACAACAAATCTTTCCATACCTAGAGATCATACTATTTCCACCCCAGCTATGCAGTTTTCCCCAGTGTTTCCAAAAGGAAATAAAAGTTTCTAGAGGTCATAAAGATCACGATGTCTCTTCTGTTTTGTATTTTTTAAAAAAAAATATAATCTTTACTGATTTTATTAAATAGCAAGTGCTGGATTTTTCTTTTCTGTTTAGAAACCTCTAAATATTATTGTGATGCTAAGGATCAAAGCTTGTGTGTACATGCTCATGCCAAGTGAAAAGCATAGGTGTGTTGTAGCAACACATGACCAATGCATGCATTTTTGTTTACCTTTCATTACAGTATGTCTCTTCCTGGAAAAATAAATCCTGTACATAAGCTTACATGCGGGCTATTTTGTATTAGTATTAGTATTAGCAAGCATTAAGGTATCTGTAACTATTATATGCTTCAGTTGTCGTCGATGCTGGGTTTTAGAGCACTCTCCACACAAGGAGTGGGTCACACCAGAAAGTTGGAAACAACTAAAGTTATGTCCTTGGGTCCTACTGTGGCTACACAAATGATCAAAATGATCAAGAAATGGAAAGAAAACATAACTGGAAGTTCACTTCTAGTATTATAGGTAAAGGTAAAGGTTTTCCCCAGACATTCAGTCGTGTCCGACTCTGGGAATTGGTACTCATTTCCATTTCTAAGCCGAAGAGCCAGCATTGTCCATAGACCTCCAAGGTCATGTGGCACCTCCAAGGTAATGTGGCTGATGTGACTGCATGGAGCACCATTACCTTCCCATTGGGGCGGTACCTATTGATCTACTCACATCTGCATGTTTTCGAACTGTTAGGTTTGCAGAAGCTGGGGCTAATAGCAGGAGCTCATGCTGCCCAAACATGTTAATAGTGGAGCTTATTTATAAGGTATATTGTTTAAGGATTCCAGGAGAAGCAATTTGGAGAATGGCGAGGAAAACAGAAATCCAAGGTATTTGGAGGGGTCAGTGGACACAAAACCAGCCTTGAGCATTTGCCTGATCTTACATAAAAACCAAAAAGATGTCACTACTGTTAGGGAAAACTACCCTAATATAAAGCAGAGCATCCAAAAACAAACAGGATACAAAAATTGAGCATCTGTTCACTAGCGAGCAGAGCATGAAGTGCCGTGTGACGTGGCTGTAAAGAATTCAGAGCTTAGGGGGCAAACATGCAGAGTCCAATCTTAAAAAATCACAAACGGTTTATTTACAATAATAAAAAGAACTGCATTTCTTAATAGTAAAGACCTGGGTCTGAGCTACGCTAACACTCATCTCTACTAAGGTTTCAAGAGAGGGAAAAACTCAATCACTCCATCTCTCCTGGCACACAAGAAGAGAGAGACCTCAAAGCGCACAGCACATACTCCCCATACTAAAAGTGTAAGAATACAGAAATCAGATTCAAAAAACTTGCAACTGTAATTCAGGAGACGGGGGGAAGGGGGGGGGGGGAAGGAAAGTTTATACTAAACTAACTGCTCCTCGTTGAGTGTGGGGTTGAATCCTAACAACCACTCTAGCTGTACCTTTGCAAAAGCAACCCTCTCTGAACAAAACTTACCAAGAAAACCCATGAGAATTTCACTTGAAGGCAGACAAAAACAGCTTCTTATAGAGACAATCACTGGGTCATCCTGAACTGTCAACATCAATTTTACAAGTTTTAGTCCCTTAGAACTGTACACCTTGATCACTCTAGAAATCTGACAGCATAATAATAAGGTACAGTATATGAGGGGAACTTCTTTGGATCAGTCTCATGAAATTAAGACTCAAATAGCCTTCATTTTTACTGCAGGCTGCCATGTGTTATTCAGTCTGCATCAGTAAACCATCTGAAAGGGCTCAGGACATACACAAGTTGTCATCACACTCAGCATTAAGCTACAGACCTAGGTTATTCTGGTTCTTTTTTATTCCAGTACAGGTGGAAAAATCAGAGATTGAGGCCTGCAGACTGACACAGACCAAGCGCCAATCCAGTTCACTAACTAGAAGAAGCATGGAGTACATCACTTAAGCTCCCAATAGTTAGCAATGAACATGCATGTCAGGACAGTACTGTTTATTAATTGTCAGTTTGTTATATTCTTGGGATAATTCATACTGGATTGCTGTGAGTTTTCCAGGCTGTCTGGCCATGTTCCAGAAACATTCTAGACTGACATTTTGCCCACGTTGGCCAGGRASCACWTGACCAGGAAGCACATGACCAGGRASCACWTTGACCAGGGACCACTTTGAMCAGGGACCACTTTGAMCAGKGACYRCWTTGACCAGGGAYYRCTTTGACCAGGGABCRCTTTGACCAGKGACCACTTTGACCAGKGACCACTTTGAMCAGKGACCACTTTGAMCAGKGACCACTTKRACYAGGGACCACTTTGACYAGGGACCACTTTGACYAGGGACCACTTTRACCAGGGACCACTTTRACCAGGGACCACTTTRACCAGGGACCACTTTGACCAGGGACCACTTTGACCAGKGACCACTTTGACCAGKGACCACATGACCAGGGACCACTTGACCAGGGAGCACTTTGACCAGGGACCACTTGACCAGGGACCGCTTTGACCAGGGACCACTTTTACCAGGGACCACTCTCCAACATTAGTACCAAAAGGGTTACGAATCAATTTTTGGTCAACTTTAGATTAAGTTTGGATAT